TGTATCTGTGTCTGTGTGTGTGTATGTGTGTGTGTGTGTGTGTATCTGTGTGTGTGTGTGTATCTGTGTGTGTGTGTATGTGTGTATGTGTGTATCTGTGTGTGTGTGTGTATCTGTGTGTGTGTGTGTGTGTGTGTGTGTCTGTGTGTGTATCTGTGTGTGTGTGTGTGTGTGTGTATCTGTGTGTGTGTGTGTGTGTGTGTGTGTGTGTGTGTGTGTGTGTGTGTGTGTCTCTGTGTGTGTGTGTGTGTGTGTGTGTGTGTGTGTGTGTGTGTCTGTGTGTGTATCTGTATCTGTGTGTGTGTCTGTGTGTGTGTGTGTGTGTGTGTGTGTGTGTGTGTGTGTCCTCTCAGTGTTGGATGTGGTGGACAGCAGTGAGGTGGTCGGCAGTCTGACTGTGTGTGTGGAGGGTCTGGAGGCTCTGCAGGCCATCATCATGGAGGACCAGGCAGGACCAGGACTAGGACCAGGACCCTGAACGAACCCCCGTCTCGTCTCTGCTTCCAACAGCATGAGGCATCGCTGACTCAGCATCAGCTGACATCATCGACCAGACAAACTAACGACATACATGGGATGTTTCAGGACGGGGTCTGAGGCCTCAGGGTTTTCATGTGATCCGGATCAGACTGGAACTGAACATGTTCTACATGTCAGTGAGTTTCACACTGAAACACAGTCTTGTTTAAAAACTTGATCAGTTTCAGCTCATGGTTGAAACGCACCTCTGGCCAGATGTTGGTCAGGCTCAGGTGATACAGTGACCTGAGCAGCCACCAGGTGGAGCTCTGAATACAGTCTGTATAAAACACAGAAGAAGAAGAACTGAAGACAGGCGTCCCTCTGCTCTGACATATTAGTGAGTGTTTAATGTCCAACAGCTGTTTAATCCAGTTTTTATTTAATTAGTTAATGATGTTTTTAATGAGTCCGTGTGAGTGTGCTGATCCAGGTGAGCGGACTCACCTGCACAGTCCAGACTCTTGTGTCAGTCTCTGTCTGTTTATCGCAGAGAGTACGTGCCTTAAATCTGTTTCCTCTGAAGTTTTGTGTTGTGCTCTAATAAAGAGAGTTTCTCTTCACACCTGGGTCCAAATGTCATCAATGTCATCACTGCACAGCTGTGTGATCCAGCATCGACTCTGATATGAATCTGGTCAGTATGATCACAATATTCAATAATAATCAAGTACACATTTTACACACAAACATCCTGCTCAAAACCACATTAGCTTAGCTAAAAAAACAGTTGAAGTAAAAATGAAGAAAAAACTGAAAAGAATAGAAACTAAATGAATAAACATAATGAGACTCATACATACGTCCATGTGATTACTGCTGTGGGCTTTGTTGCTCCATGTCTTATCTCACCTGACTTCCTCCAGTGTTTTTGACACGAAGCCTTTGCTGTTCAAAATAAACATTTTTACATTTTTTTTTTTTTTTTTTGTGAATTTTTGTTTTCTTTCTTCCCAGAAAAAAAAAGTCACTTGCCTCTCGTGGCTTCAGTAATAAACTGTTCTTATAATGTATTAAATAACTGTAAATCCAGAACCTGTCATCACCTCAGGTTGAAACGTGTTGACTCTGAACTTCCTGTTTCTGTTCCTGACAAGTGAGTTTAACAGTGTTTGTGTGATCAGCTGTTGAGTCTGAGTTGACTCTGGACTCTTGGACTCAGTCCTGTTCCTGATGTAGATTTAGGTCTCGTCTGCACAGAGATTGTTAAACAGCTGTTGTCTGTAGAGGCGAGGCCTCGGCTCAGTGGGCGGCAGGATGTCAGCTCCAGCTGACACAGACGGGACGTGTGGAGAAAAGACTGAGGAGACACAGAAACATCAACATTGAACAGCTGAGGACGGAGACACTGTCACTGCGGCAGGTAAAGATTCATTTACTTCTTTTATTTATTGAGACTCTGCAGCAAGTTTAATGTCAAACTTTACCTGCAGCTGCTTTTATCATTTAAGAAGAACAAGACTGAGATTTTTGTGTTTGTCTTCTCACGTTACAGGAAACATCTTTGACTTGGGTAACGATCAGCAAACAATAACATTAAATCATCTGTATTAATGGAGCACTTATTCATTCTTTGTACTGTATCATTGAACATATTCAGAAATTAATTAATTAATGAAACTATTGTGACTGAAAATAATTGTCATGATGATGAATGTGACTGCTGATGTTTTAGAAACCAGGAAATAATGAACCGAGTGATGATCATGAGAATTATTTCTAATGATAAGACCTGTAAATATTCTGTTTATATTTTATGTTACACTGAAAACAGGAAGTCAGGGATCAGCTGTCATGGAGGAAGAGCCTGTGTTTGTTGGTTTGTTGTCTCATACGTTTTGGCCACAGTTTGTGTGTTTGTTGTGTCTTTCTTTCCCTGTGACATCTCCATGGCAACATCCTAAATGATGCTGCAGTCTGTCAATGAACGTCCCTCTGTAGGAATACAGCAGGACGTCCACAGGACTTCAGCTGTTCATGAAAGTTGACCATTCGAGCCGAGCCGCACACACAACACACTGTTATTACTGTGATGCTGCAGCAGGAGGTATGAGATGAGATAAAGATAGTATCTATATTAGATAAAGATAATATATAGATGAGATGAGACTAAGATTTTTGAGTTATAGACGGGATAAAGATGACATAGATGAGCTAAAGATGATATATAGATGAGATGAGATAAAGACGTGATGGAGAGGAGATAGAGATGAGATAACGAGATGCACATGAGATGAGATTGAGATCAGAATCTCATCCAAATCACCAACATAAATAAGATGAGCTGAGTCAAAGGAAAAGGTAGATTTTCAGCCTCAGCAGTAAAAGCAGAACATAGCAGCTGATTGATTATGAACTATTATTGTATTTGTTTAAGATTGATTGTTCTCGTCCACTGCAGTGTAGTTTTCATTTTCCTGTTGAATCTACTTTATTTTATTTTGTCTTTTTAAAACCTGTTCACAGTCTGTTTATCACCCTGTGTTTCTTTCATGGTTGACTTTTATCTTTTGAGTGCAGCCCCTTGTGGTTGAACGACATTTCCAGTTGAGTTTGTGGGTCAGAGACCAGGACCAGGTTTTGTGATTGTTCAGCAGCAGGATGATCTCCTTCACACAGATCTGAGAGTCAAGTAAAAAGACTTCATCAGGTTCATCGTACAACACAGTATAAAGAACTTTTAAATAAAGATGGACATGAAACAAACCAAAAGAAAGGAAATAGAAAAGAGCAGTCATGTAGAATTACTCAAGCTTGTGCTAAAAGTGAAGGTGTTTATATTAAATGTTCCTGTTTAATGCGGCAGACTTCACAGTGCTGTGTAAACACTGCAAGTGTCTCTAACCCGTTATGAAATAATTTAAAAAGAAGAGCAACAAGACACCAAATAAAAACACATAAAGAGATAATAAAGAGAGATATAAAGACACAAAGAGAGATTTGACATATGGAAGAACTCATTAAAAAACACTTTAAAACTCATTAACTGAGAAGTTCTCATTCATGTAAAGCTGAACATCGTCATCGTAGAAGTGATTAGAGTCAAACTGATGGACTCTGTGTCCTACTGAGAACATGTAGAGAATAACAGAGGACTCAGGACTGAACCCTGAGGAAGTCGTTACCTGACTGGTATCTGGCCTGTACCAGACTGTACCTGTGTACCTGTCCCCCCCCCCCCACGGTCAGTCCAGGATTAGACTCATGAGACTGTTGGTGTGTGTCCTCCAGCTGCAGCACAGACGTCACCATGAGTCTGGATGAGGACGCTCGCTGGCTGGAGTGGGTCACAAAACAGTTTGAGAGCATCGCGGGAGACGACAAAGAGATCGACCTGGACGAGTTTAAAACAGCTCTGAAGGTCAAAGAGGTGAGTCACTGAAGCTGACACACAGGAGACCTGATGCTGGTTTAGACTCTGACCTGTGCTGTGACCTTGTGTTGTCATGTGTGTGTTGTGCAGTCTTTCTTTGCCGAGCGTTTCTTCGCTCTATTTGACTCGGATGGCAGCAGCTCCATCAGTCTGGACGAGCTACTCAAAGCTCTGGACCTGCTCATCCACGGCAGTGAGACCGACAAGCTCAAGTTCCTGTTCCAGGTCTACGACGTAGACGGTCAGTACCTGAAGGTCCAACACAGAGACAGGAGTGCATGCAATGCATTCTGGTCTATTTAGGCCACTGACTGATGTATCAGGTGTTCCTCAGGTGTTCTTCTCCTCCAGTTGAAGGTTTCTTGTGTCTGCAGGCAGTGGCTCCATCGATCCAGACGAGCTGAGGACGGTCTTAAAGTCTTGTCTGCGTGAGAGCGCCATCTCTCTGCCGGAAGAGAAACTGGACGACCTGACGCTGGCGCTGTTCGAGTCAGCTGACAAAGACAACAGTGGCTCCATCACCTTTGAGGAGCTGAAGGCCGAGCTGGAGACGTTCCCTGAAGTGATGGAGAACCTCACCATCAGGTCTGACATCATCATCATTGGCGTTATCATCATGACCATCATCATCAACATTATTATCATCATCATTATCATCATCACCACCATCATCATCATCATCATCATCCCCATCATCATCATCATCATCATCCCCATCATCATCATCATCATCATCCCCATCATCATCATCATCATCATCCCCATCATCATCATCATCATCATCCCCATCATCATCATCATCATCATCCCCATCATCATCATCATCATCATCCCCATCATCATCATCATCATCATCCCCATCATCATCATCATCATCATCCCCATCATCATCATCATCATCATCCCCATCATCATCATCATCATCATCCCCATCATCATCATCATCATCATCCCCATCATCATCATCATCATCATCCCCATCATCATCATCATCATCATCCCCATCATCATCATCATCATCATCCCCATCATCATCATCATCATCATCCCCATCATCATCATCATCATCATCCCCATCATCATCATCATCATCATCCCCATCATCATCATCATCATCATCCCCATCATCATCATCATCATCATCCCCATCATCATCATCATCATCATCCCCATCATCATCATCATAATCATTATCACCACCATCATCATCATCATCATCATCATTATCATTACCATCATCATCACCATCATCATCATCATAATCATTATCACCACCATTATCATCATCATCATCATCATCATCATCACCATCATCATCATCATCATCATCACCATCATCACCACCATCATCATCATCATCATCATCATCACCACCATCATCACCATCATCATCATAATCATTATCATCATCATCATCATCATCATCATCACCATCATTATCATCATCATCATCACCATCATTATCAATCATCATCATCATCATCACCACCATCATCATCATCATCATCATCATCATCACCATCATTATCATTATCATTATCATCATCATCATCATCATCATCATCATCACCATCACCATCATCATCATCATCATCATCATCACCACCATCATCATCATCATCATCATCATCATCACCATCATTATCATTATCATCATCATCATCATCATCATCATCATCATCATCATCACCATCATCATCATCATCATCACCATCATCATCATCATCATCATCATTATCATCATCATCATCATCACCATCCCCTCTCTCTCTCTCACCCCCCCCAGTGCTGCTAACTGGCTGAAGCCTCCTGACCTGGACCAGAAGAAGCGTCAGACTCCCCGGTACCTGACCCGGGCCTACTGGCACAACAACAGTCGTAAGCTGCTGTTCCTGTGTGTGTACGCCTGCCTCAGCCTGCTGCTGTTCATGGGGGCCGTGCTGCACCACAGCCAGGGGGGGGCCTGGTTCATGGTGGCCAAGGGCTGCGGACAGTGTCTCAACTTCAACTGCACCTTCGTCATGGTACGATCCATCAGGACGGAGCACACGGGGGGGTAGGCGGTCAGAGCTGGGAGGTCAGGAGGATTATTTACATCATGTTTATAATCCAACATATTTTACTGCACAGCTACAAACATATAATGATCTTCTGAAATATGATGCAGAGCTTCATCATTAAACTTCACAGATACAGCACACGCTGTTGTGATATCAAAAGGATTTATATTTAACAATTTCACTTTATGTGTCTGATGAGTTTTTATTTTCTTTATGGAATACTTTTCTCTTAGCAGCATCAGTTCGTCCATGTGGAGACACTTTTATACATTATTATACAAACATTAATTTACATTAAAGCTCCATACAGTCTAAAGGTAGATGTAGTAGTCCTTGTCTTAGACTTAGTCTTTGGTCTTAGTGTTTAGTCTTTAGTCTTTAGTCTTAATCTTAATCTTAGTCTTTAGTCTTAGTCTTAGTTTTTAGTCTTTGGTCTTAGTGTTTAGTCTTTAGTCTTTAGTCTTTAGTCTTAATCTTAATCTTAGTCTTTAGTCTTAGTCTTAGTTTTTAGTCTTTGGTCTTAGTCTTTAGTGTTTAGTCTTTAGTCTTTAGTCTTTAGTCTTAGTCTTAGTCTTTAGTCTTAGTCTTTAGTCTTAGTCTTAGTCTTAGTGTTTAGTCTTTAGTCTTTAGTCTTTAGTGTTTAGTCTGGTTTAGGCTCTGACCTGGAGACACTGAGCCACTGTGTGTTTGAGTTTATTTGTTCCTAAGATCAGCTGTTTGTGTTTGAGTTTATTCTTAAGATCAGATGTTTGTCAGCCTCATGACTGAACCGCACATGTTGTTACTGACTCTAACTGTTGTGGTTGTGTATGTGGACCTTACCTGTGCAGGTGCTGATGTTGCGGCGCTGTCTGACATGGCTGAGGGCCACCTGGGTGGTGAGGGTCTTACCTCTGGACCAGAACATCTTGCTGCATCAGATCGTGGGCTACGCCATCCTCTGCTACACCCTGGTCCACACGACCGCCCACATCTTCAACTTCGGTACAGACACTCAGGAGACAGGTACAGAGACAGGTGTCCTCCTCAGTGTCTCCTCATGTCCCGTCTCTGTGTCTCTCAGTCCAGCTTTCAGAGAGCAGTGAGTTCAGCCTGTGGGAGTACCTGCTGACCACACGGCCCGGGATCGGCTGGGTGAAGGGGACAGCCTCTGTGACTGGAGTGATCCTGCAGGTGGTGATCTGCCTGATGGTGCTCTGCTCCAGCACCTTCGTACGACGCAGCGGACACTTCGAGGTGAGACACCCGGACACTGAGGGATGACGGGGAGGTGGATCAGGTGGATCAGGTGGATCAGGTGGAGGTGGATCTGATTGATACATGTGTTTCTAATAATCAGTTTGCAAGGCAAGTTTATTTCTACAGCTCCATTCAAAAAGAGCTTTACAGGCTGGAAATTAACAATAAAACATTAAAATAGCATTAAACAACAATAAAAACTATTTTGATATATATTATATATATATTATATATATATATATTGATTTTATAATAACAATATTGAAGTAAGTCATTTGAAATAAAATCAGGTCAGAAACTGAAGACACCAGGATTCATTTGTAGTTCGATACAAGTGTGTTTTTCTTCTTCAGGTGTTTTCTCAGGTTCTTCCACAAACTTCTACAACAGAGAAAATGAAGTTGGTTTCTCATGTGTTGATAACAGAATCTGAACATTATGTGCTTTAATATAATAATTTATCATTTAAAATGTATTTTTCTCTATAGATCCTCACACTCTTTTTCCAGAATGTGTAAATGGTCCAGTTTTCTTCTTCTCTGCACATAAAACATGCGTTGTCTCCATGGTAACCTGCTCTTCCAGCCTTTTGCTCTGTGTGTGTGTGATGTGTAAATGGCTCCACCTGGTGTCTGAGTTCAGTTACTGCAGTGATGACCCTGATCCAGATCCTGTAACACTGAATCCTCACTGACCACAGGAAGTGAAGGTGGTCACATGATCAAAATCTCTGACTGCTGGTTGTCCTGCAGGTGTTCTACTGGTCTCACCTGTCCTATGTGTGGGTGTGGTCTCTGCTCATGGTCCACTGTGCAAACTTCTGGAAGTGGTTCTTGGTCCCGGGTCTGGTCTTCCTGCTGGAGAAGATCGTGGGAATCGCAGTGTCTCGTATGGGAGGTCTTTACATCGTGGAGGTGAACCTGCTACCGTCCAAGGTGACTGGAACCAGATCAGACCTGAACCTGAACCTGAACCTGCCGAGTCTCAGAGCTGAACAGCATCACTGGTCGAGTCACAGACAGACGATCGATCACTTCACTGATATTTACTTTTACATGTTTCCATCAGAAATTCATCAATAAATATTTGAATTCAGCTGAATTAATTTATTCAAACTAAAACATCTAATGTGAGGAGTCTTCTCCCCTCAGGTACACACAGCTGGTCAGCGTGTGATTGGCTCCTGCTGTGGATGAATGTGTGATGATGTCTCAGTGGTTGTGTTTGTCTGTGCTCAGGTGACTCACCTGGTGATCAAGCGTCCTCAGTTCTTCCACTTCAAACCTGGAGATTACGTCTACATCAACATCCCAGTGATCGCCAAGTACGAGTGGCACCCGTTCACCATCAGCAGCGCTCCGGAGCAGTCAGGTACGACTCACCTGTGTCTTCACCTGAGAGCGAGTCAGTGAGGGCAGAGATCTGTGTTTACTCCTCACAGTGCAGCAGCTAACTAACAATCTTTCAAATGTTTCTTCCCTTCTGTGGCCAAAAAAATGAAAAGTGAAAATCCCATTTCCCAAGATGGCCGCCATTTCCAGCTCAGGACACACATGTTTTACCACAGAGTTTTAACCACTGGACAGATTTGAATGATTTTACAGTTGAATGCAGTTTTTTTCAAATTATTTGTATATTATTTATATTTTTTTAATGTATTCTTCGTTATCTTTATGCTGACGAGGTTTGTGGCCTGTCCCTCTTTTAATTTGTTAAATGTAGGTAAAGGTTTCATTTTTTACACTGAACTAAATTTCTCCTTCTACGTTGTAAAAATGTTTGATTTGACACCTGGATCGTTCATGTGGGGAAACTGTGGGAGGATTTACTGCAGAAAAATTATATCTCCTTGACAGAAATGTCATCCATCTTGGAAATGGCGGCAATCTTGAATTTCTGAGTGGCTAACGTGTTTTATTAAAAGAGTAATACTAGTACTTATATCTACATTTGAAAGATTTCTGCTGAAATATGCAGTGATCTGCTGAGCCATGACACAGGATCTATTTGTGACATTTTCTATATATATTGTATACACTATATACAGTATATATACAGTATCTAGTATATATACTGGATGTAATCCTGAGTGTGACCTCAGTCTGTTCCTGCAGTGTCTCCATGTTTCCATGATCAGTGACAGACTTGAACCTTTAAATGAGACTAGGAGGATCCACATGTTGAAACTGGACCACAGTGACTGATTCTCAACATGACACAGAGTCAAACAGCTGAGAGCAACAACGTCATCTGATTTAACCCAGTGTGGTGCCGCACCCTGACTGCTGCTGTGACCTTTGACCTGCAGACACTCTGTGGCTGCACATCCGCTCCATGGGTCAGTGGACCAACCGACTGTACGAGTACTTCAGACAACCAGAGAGTCCGACCGTCAGCCCCAAGAGACTGGCCACCAGCCTGAGGAACCGCAGACAGCTGCTGAAGGCCCAGGTCCACACACACACACACACACACACACACACACACACACACACACACACTCACACAGCTGGTGTATGGATGCTGGTTGTTTGCAGGAGGAGCTGTTCAGCTCCACAGACTGTAACCGAGCCGTAGCCTCTAATGAGGACGACGCCATCGAGCTGACCATGTTCCGACAGAACGGCTCCCAGTCCAGCGTGGCCCCGGGGTCGGTCTGTGGATCTCAGGGGCCGGTGGAGAATCCTCCAGACGAGCTCGGGCCGGCAGAGAGAGGAGAGGCCCCTCCTCTCAGGGAGGTAAAGCTGTGTGGTCTTCAGACGTCACCTGTGGTTCTGGTTCTGGTTCTGGTTCTGGTTCAGGTTCAGCTTCTGGTCTGTGACCCACTGTTCTCTGTTCACGCTGCAGATCTCTGCCAAGTTTGGAGAGAACCACCGGTTCTGTAACATCAAGGTGAGAACATCTTCTGTTTTATTTAACGACTAAAGATAAAAACTAAAGACTAAAGCTAAAGATGCTTCATTGTGACATCACAAAGTTCCAGAAGTCCTGACAGCTGGTTTTAAGGCTCAGTTTCTGAATACAGGCTGTGTGCATTTCTCTGTGGACTGAGGCTTTGATACTTTCACAGTATTAATATAGAAGCTAGAGCTGATCTATAATCACACTACACATGGACACAGACCTTTACACTGGAGGAGCTTTGAAGACTCTGTTCCCCAGAAGGAAACCAGATCCCTTTAATCCCCGTCCCTGGTGACACGGACCAGGTTTCAGGTTTACATGACACTGAGGAAATCCTCTTCCAGATGTGAACCAGCTGTGACTCTGTGTGTCTGTTGTGTGTCAGTGTTATGTAGACGGACCGTATGGGACCCCCACCAGACAGATCTTTGCCTCTGAACATGCCGTCCTGATTGGGGCCGGGATCGGGATCACACCCTTCGCTTCCATCCTGCAGAGCATCATGTACCGGTAAGTAAGGGGGCGTGTCCTGGGCTGCATGAGGTCAGAGGTCAGATCTAGCTCTGATAGATGATCCTCTGACACAGATACCGGCGCAGGAAGCAGAACTGTCCCAACTGCAGCTACTCCTGGTGTGAGAACATCAAAGACAGCGACATGAAGCTACGCAAAGTAAGAACACATCAGTGATGTCATGATGTCATGTGACACGTCATAATAGGGTGAAACAGTGAGGGGGTGAACAGATGTGCACCTGAGTCTGTGTGGACCCTGCAGGTGGACTTCATCTGGATCAACAGAGACCAGAAGTCATTTGAGTGGTTCGTTAGTTTACTGACCAAACTGGAGATGGACCAGGCCGACGAGGAGCCTGAAGGTGAGTGAGAGACATCGGGGGGGGGGTTAACCCGGGGGGGTCAGGATCAGACAGGAACCTTCACAGAACCGTCCCCGTGTCCCTCCAGGCCGCTTCCTGGAGATGCACATGTACATGACGTCAGCGCTCAGTAAGAACGACATGAAGGCCATCGGCCTGCAGATGGCGCTGGACCTCCTCGCCAAGAAGGAGAAGAGAGACTCCATCACTGGACTGAGGACCAGGACCCAACCTGGAAGACCGGAGTGGGGGAAGGTGAGGAACTGTCACACTCTGTCACTCAGTCACTCTTTGTTTTACAGTTTTAACAGGAAACGTATTGAACATGTGTGTGTGTGTGTGTGTGTGTGTGTGTCAGGTGTTTCAGAAGGTGTCAGAGGAGAACAAGGGGAAGGTCCATGTGTTTTACTGCGGCGCTCCAGCTCTTGCTAAAGTCATCAAAGCTCAGTGTGAACACTTCGGTTTCAACTTCTACAAGGAGAACTTCTGAGGAGGTGTCCTGCTGTATGCGTGTGTGTGTGTGTGTGTGTGTGTGTGTGTGTGTGTGTGTGTGTGTGTGTGTGTGTGTGTGTGTGTGTGCAGCAGCAACAACCATCTGTGTTGTGTTTCCTGCCTCAGTGTGTTGTCAGTAGCCTTGTGTTAGCCTCATGTATGACCTTTTGGTTAAACTGGTGACACATCAGTGATGTAATGTACCTGTGCGCACCTGTGTAGGTGACAGATGTTCTGTCAGATCATAATATAATAAAGTCTCTGTCGTCTCCCTTGATCTCCTCATTGATCTGATTGTAGCAGCTGTATCTAAATTCATACACATCTGTAATAGAAGTAAATAAACTGTGGAACACAAGGACGTATGTCTGCAGTTATGATACAATCAAAAATGAAAATGAGCAAAATCAATATTCACATAAACAAAACCAATATCTCCAGCAGGCACCTGACTGATGACACGGCAGGAAACAAACCTGTTGGAGAAAGTTTATTTGAGTTTGTTCAACAACAACATGGAAAGACTCATTAACAGGATTTAAACAGACGTTTACAGTTTGTGGTCCATCGATTGGTCATGTGACTTTTCAAGAGGAACGTCCGTCTCAGGCCTGTTTCACATTTATTTCAGACAAACATTTGGGAACTCCTCCCACCACTGGAAGTGACAGTAATTAACTTAATGTGATGAGCAGTGTGACCTGAATCATCCAGGGAGGCTACATGTTCATCCCTGTCTCCACGTGTGTTAGTCCCTGATGGTTTCAGTGAAGCTCCTCTTTGTTCTTCCCTTTATTCACATTGGAACATTTACAAACAATCAGACGTATCAGTTCTTAATTAAAAGAAACATAAAGATTCAACAAAAAAGACGAAAAATAGTCAGTTATTTGTATAGCACATCATGGTACATGATGATCATTCAATGTGCTTCACAGAAATAAAAGAATCATAAAAATAGAAGTAAAAAGCACAATAAGAAAACTGTATAAAACAACAAATAATAATAACAAATACACAAATTTAACAAAACAAGGACAAATATATAATTGAAGTGACAAACTTCTTCAGAAAAACATCTCAGAATATATATTAACTTCTTGTTTCTTGTTTGTACAAATTTAAGACTGAAAGTAATGTTCAAGATCAGTTAGAAAGCATTTAAATGAGAGACTTGATTGATGAAATTTTACCTTATGAATATTACATTTTTCTAGTAAAATCAGGAGGTTAACAATATTGAATAATTTTTCCTTACATTCAGAATAAGTGAAAATTACATAATTGTTCGTTAATAAAAAACAAACAAACAAAAAACAATTTCACTTCATTAAAATAAAAAATTGATCCAGACTAATAACAGAGATTATTTCCAGGGTGTGTAGTCGATGTAAGAGCGGCCTCCTGCTGGTGTAAACTATATTATTTTCAATTAGATTTAACTGCACGAATAAGATTCGTACTAAGAATATGTTCATTATTATACTTATTATAATTTTCCCATATGATTACATCATAAAGACCGTGATTTTAGTGAATGGAGGTTTGTGTTACGTTCGATTAGTTGTGATCGGTGCTCTGCTGATCAGCCTGTGTATGTGGCTAGCTAGCAGCTAGCTAGTTACGCAGTAGCAGTTCGGCGTCGGGCAGCTAATAAAACATTGGACCAATGCCTTAGAAACCCCGTCTCCTCCGCCTCCTTCTGATAAAATGAATGTTGTCTGTTGAACTCAGTGGACGCTGTTAATCAAATTCACCGTCAAACACCGATGTTAGAGGCGGAAAGATCATTATTTGCAGCGGCCACATTTTCGCTTTTTGGCCGAGCTAGCTAACTTGCTAGCCTAGCTCCTGTTAGCCTGTTAGCACGCCTGTGATGGCACAGCCGGAGAGCGACGGGATAAAGGAAGGTAGGCCACACACTCCGGTTTTATTTCTTCTTCTGGCACCTGGGTCGTTGTATCGTGTGATGATAAAGTGTTTGCGTGTTTAACTTCGCGCCAGTCTGATTAAAATCGTAAAAACTCAGAGCTGCTTTTTCCAGGTCGTCGGCTTGTTAGCTGTATCCGGGACGAGCTAATGTAGCTGCTCGGCTAGCTAACATCTCTTGATTTAACTTTTTAACTGGTTGTTAACGATTCTGTAAGAACTGAGCTTCAGGTTGGAGTCGTGTCGGCCAGAGAACAAACTGTGAGTCTGAACAGAATCAGTCAACATGAAGAAGTTGGTTAAGTCAGTGTGTTTGTCTGTTTTAACGGATATAAATGTTTGTTTTGGTGTGGCTTCATCCCTACATTAAACTCCCCTTTCACACAGAGTTCAGCTTAATTTACAGACAGACTCGGGGTGAAATAACCAGCCTGAGAGAATAATCACTGACACTGGTTATTACATGGACCTGTGTGTGTGTATATATGTGTGTGTTGTTGTGACTGTTGTGAATGATTCAGGTGCAGGTGTTGCTCACCTGTGGTCTCTGTGGAGATTTTGACTGAAACAGTGTGAATGGATGAAGTCTAAATCTGACAGTGTCAATTGAAGTTGTGTAGAAAGGAAAAACCTTTTTTGAGCCACATTGTTTTTTGAATGGATGGTTCTTTATTGTCATTCAGCTGTGGGTTGTTGTCTTCATTAATCAATAATTTGGGTTGTCTATAAATCATCAGACAGTCACTTAAAAATAGCCATCATAAGTTTCCACAGGGTGACACCTTCAGATGGTTTGTTCACTGTCGGCAAAGAAAAACATCAAATGTAGAACAGACACTGTAAACAGTGGAGAGTTGTTATTTTTAGAGAATTGTTTTTCTGATTTCAATTTTATTACATTTCATAATTCCACAATATGAAAACACAACCGTCTCCAACCAGCATGAAACAGGAGAAAAGAAAAACAAGCAACGGATATATCAACCACACAAACAAACAAACCAACAAAGATAGAACAGAAATGTCCAGTAAACCTGCCACATGAAGAATCGGTCCTTGTAGAATAAACATCAAAATAGTGTCCATGTGTTCCATCCCTCCACATTCAGAGCTCCCCCCACCTCACACGAGTTCATTTACAGATGCAAATAATAACATGTTGAAACGGACAGTACACAGAAATAAAAAGTGTGTTCATTCACTTCCTTAGTGAGTGAAATCCTTGTAATCATTGTATTTTTCTACCTGGTTTATGAGGCTTTATAATGTTCTTTCACACTCCTGAAATCATTGTTATTTTTACAGAATCTTAGAAAAAGAATGTGTTGAAGACTCGTCTCCTCTGAGAGCACCTCCTCTCTGAACTCCTCTCACACACTAACACCAACTAGTCTAACTAACTTACTGCTTCGCCTGATCTCCTTCCACTTTGTCTAATTGAACACATTTAGTATTTGTGTGTCCCGCTGCACTGAAGCTGTAGTGATGTTTCTCATGATCAGTGTAAATGTGACGGCGTTAGCGCAGCTGTTAATTTGCACGTGTGGTCTCGACACAGCTACTGAGGACAAACACAACAAAGTATTTTCTACAAAATGAAGTTCCAGTAAAAATCTGAGAGAAAAGAAACAGGAGGAAATGTAACACGACACTGATGACTGATAACAGTCAGAGAATAAATCAGTGCAGCGTAGAGGAGCACTCACAGACCTGCACCCAGACCTCCACCCAGACCTCCACCCAGACCACAACATGCACCCGACTTCATATTCATAGTTAATGATTCAGATCTGCCCCAAATCATAATGAGTTCTTCTCTGGACGATGGTCATGGTCCATCCCTCCTCCAGGTTCAGTGCCGGGGGCAAGTCAGTAGTTTCTGTGTAAACAGACAGACAAACAATCAATCAATCAATCAATCAGACACAGGTGAACACATGACATCGTTGGCAGAGAGAACAAGTTCATTTGTAAATCATCAGACTGTTAATAAGAATACAATATAGTTTGGTTTTAAAACTTTTGTTGTTCATTCATTATAGATAAACCTTTACTAGACCAATAAGTGATTATTCAATCAACAGAAAACTAATCAATGACTATTAAAGTGAAAGTGTGGAACGAGCTGTTTCCAGCAGGTCTGATGTTTTCTGTCGTTCATGACGGTAAATGAAACGTCTGTGTTTGGAGACCCGGACCGGTTCAGGTCCAGGTCTTTGTCTCTGGTTCAGACAGGTTGACAGTTTGTGACCGGTTGATCTGTGGACCGAGGGTGTGATGTCAGAGTGTGGTGCTGATCTTGATTGGTCGTCCGTGTTTACTGAGGTTCACTACATGGGGTGTTAAACAGTGATGTAGAGACTCTAGGTCGTATTCAGTGTTTATCACCAAATGGTTCCAATGATTGATCAGCAGATTGATAGGAAGTGATCAGCAGCTTCGTCTCCTTCACTTATTGAACAGATGTTCTGACTCCGTCTCCCGCTGCACTGACGCCTCTGTGTTTCCTCATTATTATAATATTTGTGGTCTCAGGTTCAGGTGTGACACCTGTCTTGACCTTTCATCACATAAAGCTGAACATTGTTCATTCTGGATATCTGAGGCTCAAACAACAAGACGATCAATCCATACAATCATCTCCAGATTCATTGATCAGACAGACAATCTTAAAGAGGATGTTTCCAGATGTTTCCACTGAACTGACTCTAGATGTTAAAACATCTTATGATTTAGTAACATGAACATTACAGCAGCTTCAAACCACTGATGTTTTCTATGTTACAATTATAGAGCTGGAACTAACCTGTATTTTCATTATTGATTAATCTGCTGATCATTTTGATTACCCATCACCACGTCCTACAGTCCAGGGTGATGTCATCAGATGTCTTCTTACTTCTGCTCCTCCTTCTTTCTTCTCTTTCTCCTCCTTCTTCTCCTTCTTGTTTCTTCTTCTGTCTTTTTCTTCTCCTTGTTTCTTCTTCTCTGATCTGAAACATGCTCCCACTAGAAGATTTGATAACAGTGTATCACATTCTGCAGATGATTATTAATTATCGTGGTAGAGGAAGTGACGCTCACAGTCTCACAGTGAAGTATCAGATGGAAACAAAATGGAGTCTGTGGAGCACCAACTTGTTGTAATGTTATTAAACCTTAAAGAGTCTGGATGAGAAACTCAGTCAACACAGATGCTATGCTAGCTAACGTTAGCCTAAAGGCTGGAATGTTTACTGTTTCCTGTGTTGGGCTTATTAAGTCATGTGACCTTTGGGTTTGACACCGACTTCCTCATGTATTCTCACCTGCAGCCTAAACTCTGCATGGCGACGGACTGGCAGCAGTGGGAGTGAGCAGCCAATCAGCCAAGGCCCCCGGTAGCAACATGGCGTCCCGTCAGAGGAACTCGGTCCGGATCCTGTCCAACCGGGAGCGAGGCTCCCAGACCTTTGGCTCCCAGAGACTCCTGCAGCTGCTGGTGGAGGAGAAGGTCCGCTGGATGAAATGGCAGAGTCAGGTAAACACACCTGTACTGAAGTCCACCTGTACCTAGTCCGACACACCTGTACTGCTTTAATCCCTGTTTAAATGTGAGTGAATGTGTTTTTTGGCTCTGACAGAAAGTGGAGCTGCCGGACAGTCCTCGGTCCACGTTCCTGCTGGCCTTCAGCCCTGACAGGTGAGACCTCATCATAATCATAATCATTTATGGACTCTCTCTGGACCTGGATCCAGTCCCAGTTACTGTCGCAGCTGGTTTGAAATGACTTTAAGTGGTGAAGGTGGTGTTAATGACCTTTGACCTCTCTGCTCCTCTCAGGACCCTCATGGCTTCCACACATGTCAACCACAACATTTACATAACAGAGGTGAAGACAGGAAAGTGCCTACATTCCTTAGTGGGCCACCGTAGAACCCCCTGGTGTGTGACCTTCCACCCCACGATACCCGGCCTGGTGGCCTCCGGGTGCCTTGACGGAGAAGTCCGAATCTGGGACCTGCATGTGAGTAAGACCCTCGGGGGAAGTGTTGACTCCTCGCTCTGCGCAGTGAGTTCATGTGGCTCTGCTGCAGCTGCTCTGCTGCTTCAGTCAGCGTGGGGCTAGAGACGAAACGTTACCTGTCTTAGGTTTTAATTGATGAGCAGCAGCTAACGTGGGTTTGTTGTGTGTCAGTGAAAACATGGAGAAGACAGTCACAGCTGCTCCAGAGCAGGTAAACCCGCTGATACAAGCAGATGGACTCCATCTCCACTGTTCGGACCGAGGACACACATTTGATTATTTCTTTATTTATATCAATTTATTCTGCTAATAATTATAATGTATTTGATTATATTAAAATTATATAATGCTCTCCATTGATAATCAAGCTTCATCGACTCATTGAAAACGTCCTGCCAGTGACATCTGTCTCATATTCACATCATCAGTGACCACATTAAAATGAGCTGCAGACGTGTCTCAGTGTGCCGTCCGGGGTCATGTGACCCTGTGACAGACTTTACCCAGAGTCCTTTGGGTATAACTGACAGATGATGAACTGTGACTGCTGACCTGATCTTACTATCATCATCTCACCGAGACAACGACCTTTTCTCATCACATGTTCCTGGTGTTTCTTCCTCAGGGTGGGAGTGAGAGTTGGTTCACAGAGAGTAACGTGGCCATCGCCTCCCTCGCCTTCCACCCCACGGCTCAGCTCCTCCTGATCGCCACCAACAACGAGCTGCACTTCTGGGACTGGAGCCGACCGGAGCCCTTCGCCGTGGTCAAGACGGGCAGCGACACGGAGAGAGTCCGGTGGGTTCAACACTGACCAGAGCAGCTGAGTCGACCAGGAGACCAGCAGTTATTATAATAATAACCTCACTGAGGTTCAAAATAAGAGGAACACAGATTAAACTGCTCATGACTAATGATTGTCAGATGTAGAACAGCTGATCGCTGGGACTCTTCAAGTCCATTTAAATATATTAAATAAATAATAATGAATATTAATAATATTATAATATATATGATGATAAACCACGTCACAGAGTGATGCAGCTGCTGACGATCTTCACTCTGGTTGAAGTTGTTGTCAGTGATTGATGGTTGAACACTGACTCAGTTTGTGTTTGTTTGTTTGTTTGTTTGTTTGTTTGTTTGTTTGTTTGTTTGTTTGTTTGTTTGGTCATGTGCTGGTTTCAGGTTGGTGCGGTTCGACCCTCTGGGCCACAACCTGCTGACTGCGATCGTGAATCCGTCCAATCAGGTAAGAACTGACGCTGGTCACATAATCATGACTGTCGCCGTCCTCTGGTGGACACTCTGTGTCATGACAGTGTGGGCGGAGCCTGCTGACTGCTCTCTCTCTCTCTGTCTACCCCCCCCCAAGAGCGAGGAGGACTTGGAGGTTCCCATGGACAGTGTGGAGATGCCTCACTTCCGTCAGCGCTCCTTCCTCCCCACCCAGCCGGTTCGCCGCACGCCCATCCTCCACAACTTCCTGCACATCTTGTCGTCTCGCTCCCCGGGGGCTCAGGCTGGAGGCGAGCAGCCCCGCCCCTTAGGGGATAATGGAAGCAACGTGGGAGAATCTCCCAGCATGCCTCTGGCCCAGTACCCCAGCTCTGACCGCGGGCCCCCCTTCCCCGGCTGCACCCAGCACCTGGGCATGGTGTGCCTGTGTAGTCGCTGCTCTGTCAATCGTAACCCCCCCCTGGGCGCCAACGGTTCCTCTGTGACCCCCTCTGATCCCAGGGTGTCAGCTGACACTCCCCAGCCCCCCCCGGCCTCCACCTTCTCCTCGGCCCGTACAGAGCCCCGGCAGCCGTCGGAGCGCCCCTCGGCCTTCACCTCAGTCTACTACAGCGCCGGCTCCTCTCTGAACCCCCCCGCCCCAAGTGGCGTCGAGCCGCACTCCGCCTCCAGACCAGGACCCGACTGGACCTGCAACCTGCTCGGCATGAGGGAGGGGGGGGTTGGCCAGGGTATGCTGCCTCCCAGAACCTCCTCCTCCTCCTCCATCAGCCTGCTGTCAGTGCTCCGTCAGCAGGATGGCTCCTCCCAATCCCCCGTGTACACCTCCGCCACTGAAGGGCGGGGCTTCCCCCAGCAAGGAGAGGGCGGGGCCAGAGACGCCGCGGGGACGAGCAGCGGGCACCACCCCTTCTGGGACGGCTCTCGCAGCAACACGGCGTCGTTCAGGAACGTGCTGCAGTGCAACCTGAGCCGCTACTTCATGGAGTTTGACCGCATGCAGGACCTGGAGCCGCCGCTGGGGGGGGGCATGACGGACGGCAGCCAGGAGCAGAATCAGGAGCTGCTCAATAATAACATGGACCCTGACAGACCCGGGCCTTCCTCCTCCTCCACCGCCCCCACCATCATCCACTACCAGCCTCCTCTCCCTCCCCCTCCCTCCTCCCACAGCCTGGAGAACAACGTTCCTCCCCCCGCCTCCCGCGGTCACCTGAACCGCTGCCGGGCCTGCCACAACCTGCTGACCTTCAACCACGACTCTCAGCGCTGGGAGCGCACCAACCAGGCCTCCTCCACCTCCGCCTCCTCTCTGGAGGCCCCCACCTCCTCCTCCTCCTCCTTCCCCACCTCCTCCTCCCCCTGGCAACCTGAGGAGAGCAGGAGGACACTAGAAGCCCAGCCCCAGGAGAGGAGGGCGCCTCCGGAGCCCAGCGAGCAGCCCCCTCCCTCTGGAGGAGGAGGCGCAGGAGCAGTGGCCTTCCCCATCGGCCCCTCCTCCACCCAGCCTGGGGAGCAGACGGTGGGGCTGGTGTACAACCAGGACACGGCGCAGTGGGAGAGGGTGTACCGGCAGGCTGCTGCCGGGCGCTCCGCAGAGCCACCGGAGGCCTTAAGCCAAGAAATGCCTGTTGACCCCCCCGACGAGGACTCGCTAAGGAGGTACGAGTAATAAAGCCGTAATAACCCCATATAACCCTCTGAAGGCGTGGACGTGTATACTCTCCCAAACACCTCCTTGTCTTCAGAGCGTCGTCACTCTGCGACACGTTAAATTAGAGAATCGTCGCTTTCTAACGAGCCGCTGTTCGTTCGTGTTCGTCGCCGACTCCCATCGATACACTGACATGAAAAGTCAGAAATGATTTGGAGTCTGGAGCTGCTTCCTCTGTGTGTTTATCCATCGAGTCTCATCCTCCATCTTTGATACTGACGTCTAGAGTCCGGTCACTGAATCGGACACTCCTATTGGCTCCAGCGGGAGCTCTTGCAGCCAATCAGAGAGTCTGACTCAGAGGCTTGAGTGGGAGCAGTGCTGTGAGGAGAAGTAGTTCTGAGAGCAGCTCCAGAGAAGGAGAATAACTCATGAACAGATAAAGATAGAAACTTGAAATCATGATGCTTCACAGCTTTTATCTATAAAACAAGGAAAAGTTCAAGGTCCGTTTCTTGTTTTTTCTTGTTTTATGAGCCACTGACCTTTATTATACTGGACAGCAGTGGTCGGCAACATATCAATATCTGGCCCGCCATTTTGACAATATGATTATTTTAAATAAAAGAGAAAAGATCTCGGTCTGAGCAGCACCAGTTACCTGTCACTTCCTCTTCAGCGATTTTACCCAGAAAATAAAAGCGCGAGAAAGTCCTTTTTTACTTTTTTTTTCTTTCTTTTTTTTTTGTTTTTGCAGCAATGATTCATTTCAAGCTATTATGAGCTTTTATTCTGAAAAGATCTGAAAGGAAGTTCCAGAGTGTCTATTGTTCTATTGGATCAGTCAGACGTACAATAAGTGCCTGTGGGTGGACGAGTTACAAACATCAGAGAGAAGCATCAAAGCAGCGGAAAGATAGGAATCACAACTTCCTGTCAGGACTTTCAGAGTAAAATCAGAGTGGAACCCGAATGCAGATGATGAGCGAGATTTTGCATTGATCGTATGATCCTCATTGAGTGACATATATAATTAGCTGAGGTTGTGCTGATTCTGAATCAGCACTTAGTGAAACTTCTCAAATGTTTAGTTGTGGCTGTATCTGTGTGATAGTTGCGCTTTATATCAGGCTTGAGGTTGATACCTGGCTTCAAAGGGGGAGTTGAATATGAACATTGATCCAAATCATTTCCATCAGCTGTTTTCTGTAATGTCTGGTGTTTTTGTGTCACAGGCGACTGTTGGAATCGTCTCTGTTATCGTTGTCTCGCTACGACATGTCAGGATCCAGAGACCACCCCATCTACCCTGATCCAGCCAGGTAACTGACTCACTTCACCTACCTGATCCAGACAGGTATTCAGGCCGTGTCCACACTGATGTGTTTTCAGTTTAAAACAGCATTTTCAAACTAAACCAATCTCCGTCCAGACTAACACGCCTGAAAACACACATCACGACCATCACCTACACTGAGCATGTGTGAGCCGGTGTAAACAGGAAGTAGATTGTCTCCTCTGCAGTTGTAGCATTACAATAGAGAATGTAAGTGAACAACAGCTGCTAGCAAAGACAACAAGGTCAGTGACACAGTCATTCATTATCATGTTGTATTCACCACTGGTAGTCCAGGCTGATGAGAGCCAATCAGGAGAGACCGTGGGTGTGACCTCATCGTTTACAAAGGTTTCACTTTCTGTCCATCCAGACTACAACACTGACCCCAGAGTTTTCAGAATAAAACACAACCCCAGAGTTTTCAAAATAAAACACAATCCCAGAGTTTTCAAAATAAAACACAGTCCCAGAGTTTTCAAAATAAAACACAGTCCCAGAGTTTTCAAAATAAAACACAATCCCAGAGTTTTCAAAATAAAACACAACCCCAGAATTTTCTAAATAAAACACAACCCCCAAATTTTCAAAATAAAACGGGTCCAGCAGTGTTTCCAAAAGTCTCAATCTCTGTTTTCGGTGCTTGAAAACTCTGGAGTTGTGTGGACAGACGAGGAAACGTAGGAAAAGAGATGAGTTTTAAATTGAAAACGTAGTCGTGTGGACGGAGCCTCAGGTTCATGTCACATTTACATCGTGTTTGTTTGGGTTTAGGTGATTTCTGTGTCTGTCCTCCCGTTAAAGAGATAAACCTGACGTACAGGACAGAAGGAGTGAACACAGACTTCACCTGGTTCATGTTTCACTGTCACTTTCCTGCTAAATGAACTGCAGATAAAACCCTCAGTAACATGCAGATCTCATGTCCTGAGGAACACAGGCCTCCTCTCTGTGGTCCGGACAGTTTCATGTAGAGACTGACTCACTGCCTGTTGCTTTATAACCTGCACTCAGCAGCCACTGCTTCATACGACCTTGTAATGACTCTGTGAAGTGATTTTCAAACTGAGCTGAGTCTCACAACAGAGGATCACAGAGGGACTTCCTGTTCCAGGGGTCACTGAGTCCGCAGACCGGCCTCCATCCAAACACTGGTTCTGAGTTCAGACAGAAACCATAACTATAAATACAGACTGACAACAGAGACCTGGTTCTAATGTCTGTCATGCTGTTTGAAGCTGAGCCTGAGCCTGAGCCTGAACCGGTCCTCTCTGTGTCCAGACTTTCTCCAGCTGCTTACTATGCCCAGAGGATGATCCAGTATCTGTCCAGACGGGACAGCATCCGCCAGCGCTCGCTCCGTTACCAGCAGAACCGCCTGCGGGCCATGTCGTCGTCGTCAGACAGCCCCGCCAGCAACCCGTCCAGCTCCATGGACAACAGTGACGTGGACTTCGAGGAGCTGGAGTGAGTGGGACTCTGGTTAAACCTTTTTTTTTTTTTTTTGAAAGTACAGTGAGAGGTAGACAGGAAAGTCGGGGAGAGAGAGTGAGGCGATGACATGCCGCAAATGGCTGCGGGTCGGACTCGAACCCACGGCTGCTGCAGTTAGGACTAAGTCCATGTGGTACGCACTCTGGCAGGTGGGCCGGCGAGGCGCCCCCTCCCTGGTTAGACCTGGTCTTATGACGTGCTCAGTGTGTGGACCTGGTCTGTGTTTTCTTAGCAGAGCTGCTGTTTGAACAGAACAGCTGAAGCGTTAAGGCATGTCACACTGTGGTCACAACGTTTACTGAACACCTCCAAACTTTTCCTCCTCCACGTCTTTATTTCTTATTTTTATCTATTTAACGCACAAAAGAATAAAAGAAAAACAGGAAGCTACAAACACGTCAGCAGCAGTGAAATCTGTCCGACTTTATCTGTACAGCCGTTTTAAAACCCCCCCCCACACACACACACACACACACACACACACACACACACACACACACACACACACACACACACACACACACCCATATACACACAGAACAATAAATGACCAAGTGATTGAAACAATAAAATAAAACAAAATCCACAGGAAGTGAGGAAACACTGAAGACTGGAAAGTTAGGATGACGATAGAGATAAAATAATAAAATGTATTAATGTCAAACTCGAAATAAAAGGTGGGATATTAAAAGTCTAATCTAAATGAAGACAAAAAAGTGAAGATAAAACAATGAAATGCTAAAAGAGAATAAAAGTAGAAATAAAATAGAACTAGAAATGATCAGAGAGGTGATGAAGGTGGAACAGGTCGTCTTCAGGTGACTTACCTGCTGCTGTCTCACCTGTGATATCATTAGAACTAACTCTGTTACAGTACCTGTGGGAGGGGATCCCTCCCCTTCAAATTAAAAGCCCCCTGCAGGGTTGTGTGGTTATTTTTAACTTTTTCTGTTGTGTGAAACTTGTTCTTGTCAACAGGAGTTTGAAATGGTTTCATTTCATCTTGAGCAGAACCACGATGCAGTTCCCTTGTTTTAATAAGAGTGTTTCTACTTTACTTGAACCTGTCCTGTGTATTACAGTGAAGCTGGTTCTGGTCACCTGACCTCTCTCTTTATTACCCAGTGATAACGGAGACAGAGCGAGACACAGGACGCCACGAAACGCCAGGATGTCCGCCCCCTCCCTGGGTCGCTTCGTCCCTCGGTGAGTCAGCTCTGATCCTGAACTTGTACAGAGTCCTGGATCAGCTAGCTTTGGTGTTAAATTGGTTCTGGTCGTCATGGTTACGTGTCCAGGTCTTGGTTCTATGTTTTGTGGTTCTCCTGCAGGAGGTTCCTCCTCCCTGAGTATCTGCCCTATGCTGGAATCTTCCATGAGAGAGGACAACCAGGCCTGGCCACACACTCCTCTGTCAACAGAATCCTCGCTGGTACACACACACACACACACACACACGTACCTGTACCTGTACCCGTACCTGTACCTGTTTGGATGGATGATAAGTCTAATGTTCTGTTGTCCCATCAGGAGCGTCGATTGGAGACGGTCAGTCTGCGGTGGCCAGTAACATCGCTAACACCACCTACCGTCTGCAGTGGTGGGACTTCACCAAGTTCGACCTGCCAGAGATCAGCAACGGTACAACTCTCTCTGACCTCCTCTGTTCTGTGTCTGTGGGGCGGGAGGTTCGCTCGCCACAGACAGGTCACATGTGTCTGTCCTCCAGGCAGTGACCAGTCCCACAGTTAGAAACGTGACGTGGCACAAGATCATTAAAGCGATTAAAAGAAAATATCTTTTCTTAGAGAGAATTACCGTCTGCACTGTAAACTTGTTAACAGATAATATCGACTACCTGGAGTCACAGTGACGGCTTTGTCTCTAGCTGCTGTCAGCCAATCAGAAGAGAGACTCTGGGCCTCTCGTCTGATTGGCTGATCGTCCTGTTCTGTCTGGAGACTTCAGAGAGACTTTGGTACTTAAAACCACAGATTTATCCTCAAATCAAAACTTCAAATAAATGGAATAAAATTTCAAAAAATAAATAAATAAAAGGAAAAGTGTAAAATCTGGGACCTTAAAATGTTTGGTTGAACTTTTATATATTTTGTATTTATATATTTAAATATTTACTACTACTACTTTTTTAAGTATTTGATATTGTCATTTTGCAGTTTTTCTTTCTTTTTCTGTCACTTTGCTGCTGTAATACTGCAAATGTCCCCACTGTGGGACGAACGAAGGAGTATCTTATCTTAACTGTAACTCTCCATGACGGGGCCTGATGAGCCTGGGGGTCTTGGGGTCTGGGGGTCCGGGGACTAAGAACCAGACCACCAACTGTACTGTCCCCGGTTCAAGTCTTCTGTCCACTTGATGATAAAGACAGAGAGGACTCCTGTGGACTCGTGATCAGAGAGGAGGAGCTAATTAATGAGCAGAATGTTTCTGTTTCTTGTTTCCAGCTTCAGTCAACGTCCTGGTGTCAAACTGTAAGATCTACAACGACGCCAGCTGCGACATCTCTGCGGATGGTCAGCTGCTGGCCGTCTTCATTCCCAGCAGCCAGCGGGGGTTTCCAGACGAGGGTATCCTGGCCATCTACTCTCTGGCTCCTCACAACCTGGGAGAGATGCTCTACACCAAGAGATTCGGTGAGTCCAGACACTGTGGACGTGTTAAATCCAGAGGGAAAGTTTATTTCATTGTTTGCGGTTTCCTCTTTATCCTCTTAACGATCAGTTTGATCTTCTTCTACAGGTCCAAATGCCATCTCTGTCAGCCTGTCTCCCATGGGCTGCTACGTCATGGTGGGCCTGGCCTCTCGCAGGATCCTGCTGCATCCCACCACCGACCACATGGTGGCGCAAGTCTTCCGCCTGCAGCAGCCTCACGGAGGAGAGACGTCCATCAGGGTGAGACGGAGACAGACCGCGACTCAAACACTCAGATCAGTCAAAGTATCATCAGTTCAGACCCAGAGTCTCTTCATGGACCAGACAGGAAGTAACAAAATAAAATACCACGTTATAGATTTATATTCAGACAATCAGCTTCCTCCATAAACGGCTGTGATCACATGACCAACTGAAATCAAATCAGCTCCAGATATAAACAAAGGTCAAAGGTCAAGTCCAGGTGAATCATGTTTGAGACACTTTAATAAAAAACCCACAGAAAAAAAAACTGATATCAGATAAAGTTTTATTTTGGATATTTTCACTTTATCTGCCATCAAACAGACTTTTACTTTGAAACTGTTGAACTACTGTATTCCTCCACATATCAGCTGTTTGCATCGGACCGAGCTGAGCGTAGGTGTGTGTGTTCGGTGTGTGTGTGTTCGGTGTGTGTATAACCTGCTGCTGTGTTTCAGATGGTCTTTAACGTGGTCTACCCCATGGCTCCAGACCAGAGACGTCACGTCAGCATCAACTCTGCCCGCTGGCTGCCCGATCCTGGGATGGGTCTGGCTTATGGAACCAACAAGGGAGACCTGGTCATCTGCCGGCCTGTGTGAGTCTCTAACACCATCACACACACACACACACACACACACACACACACACACACACACACACACACACACAC